CGTAGAGTGATAGACTCTCTATTGTAGGGATTTGACGAGTTTCGTAATTAGCTACGTAATAATTGTGTTGCTCTTATAGATTTATCCCGCGCTATGTTTTTTCATCGAAAGGTTTACCTTAAAAGTTATAACTCACACGTTTAATCGTGAGTGGGGTCAAGGACCCGTTAAAGCTTCTTATTCTAATGGGATTAGGCCGTTCGCCTCGGCATGATTATGCACTACACTCTCATGGGAGCGGGCCGTTCACCTCGACAGTATAATAGATGCATTTATGGTTTGTGGCATTCGACCCTCGGCAGTGCACAGATTATGATGGGATCAGGTTGTACGCCTCGACATTTCTATAAAATACTCTCATGGAATCGTAATAATTGTCAAGAAGTCAGTGTATCTATGAGTCTTCCTGATTTGAATTACGACAACCTATCTGGTGAGGTCCATTACATATACATGCTCTGGTTAAGGAGGTAATTGCTAATTGAGTGCTTGAGTCTATTGTAGAGAGGAGCATTCTATTGTGTACTTATACTTGTTTATTTCATCTGTTTACTCTATCTCATATATGTTTTCTTCTTATTGTAAGTGTCTTATTAGACCACTAGTAAGGGTCGCTGTCGACCCCTCGTCACTACTTCTCTGGGGTTAGGCTAGATACTTACTGGGTACGCATTGATTTACGTACTCTTGCTACACTTGCTGCACATTTTTATGCTGGTACATTTATGTCTGGTTGTCTTTTGGGCGCGGAGGCGCGGATGATTATGGGGACATACCATGAGCTGCATTTCATGTTACGATCCGTAGCGTGCATAGTCTCCATCAGAGTTATTTATGTTTTCTTGTCTAATTTGTTTCCTAGACAGATGTTGTATTTTATTATATTTTCTATTTGATACTCATGCACTCGTGACACCAAATTTTGGGGGTACTTACGGGTTGTTCATTATTGCAGTTGTGAAAATATTATCATTTACCTTGTAAATTCTATTTATTACTATTTAATTGATGAAAATTGTGATTTCAAAAATACTAAAATGAGTAAATAAGTTAATCATTCATTGTTGGCTTGCCCGACGGCGATGTTGGGCGCCATCACGACCTTTAGTGGATTTTGGGTAGTAGCATCTTGGTATCAGAGCGTTAGGTTCACTTAGGTCTCACGAGTAATGAGCAATTCTATTAGAGTCTTGCGGATCAGTACAGAGACATCTGTACTTATCTTCGAGAGGCTACAAGGCTGTTAGGAGCACTTACCTTCTTGATTCCTCATCGTACGATTTGATTCCTTTGAGGCTTATTCCATTATTTCTCTCGTACTCAATCTCATGTGACATGAAGTGCTTGTTATCAATTGGTAATCGAGGAATTGTAATGGTACTACAGACGTGGAGCAGGATGTTTCTCCTTGCGCATTCGAGCAAGTTAATATCTTCTTCTTGTGGAAGAATGTTCTATCATTTCAGCCCAGTAGCTATATTTCTGATGGTTTTGAGGCTATGCACAGGTTGATGTGATGTTCATGAGTTGTTATCCCACAAGATTGATGTAATGGTGGGGTGCTCTTTTATGTGCCGACACAGTGGATGGCTTGTAAGGAGTTTTTTTTTCTAAGTGCATGATTCAGAGGTTCAGCATTTTATTTTTGGCGGGGAAGACAATCCGTATACGAATACTTAGGCTTTGGCTGATGGAATAGCGAGACTTGGTATTTCGGGCGTGGTGGAATTCTCAATGGTGATGTAATGTCATCGTCTCTGTTGAACGCATTTAGGTTCGCTGGTGTTATGGTTTTCATTGACTTGCCTCCGGAACAGGATGTGGTAAAATAATGCCTAAGAAGCGATTATCAGATATGGCAGGTATATGTTGGCTTGAGAATCGAATCGGCATTTATAATGCTGTTGGCTCAGGAAAAATGATCTTCGAGGAGGCTTAGAGTTGGTAGTAATTTATCAGATCAAGTGCTACGGTGGTGGATTTTGCTTTCAAGCAGTATTTGGGCAGCGAAAGATGAGGAATGACATGGCAGAAGGTGTCTCGCGGTGATTGAATTGCTAGTAGGTCAAGTATGGAAAGCAGAGGTCGAGATGTTGCTTAAAGGAGAGGGTTTAACCGAAGTGGGAGAGTGGTAGATTAGCATATAGTTTATGGGGTAGGATAGCCACACGCCTTGAGGAAAGTTTAGAGCAATTTGGGAATCATGGTGTGCAGTGACTAGGTCCACAGATTTTATTTAGATGCAACATGACTTCGAGTTTGGAATGTATTGTTGGACTTTCAGTTGATGAATTGGGAAGAAGGAATCTTGATGGGTCCCAGGGTTATGTAATTGTAGCTTCAAGCTAAGTGAGGGAGTCCCACCATCTATGATTGGATTGCATGGTTGCCTACTTGTGCGGTTTCTAGTTATCGTTGTATTTGTGGGTTATTATGACTAAGGAAAGAAAACATCAATGGTAATTTGAGCAAAGGATTTGAGGAATGTGTGCTAAATTTTGCCTTATTGATTCATGTTCAGGTTTTGGGAAGACTCAGAGTTTATGCTTCGTGTGGATGTGATGTACAAGGAAAGGAATTCAGCCGGTTGCTTCTTTGAGAGGGTGTTCATGTGCTAGCAGGGCCTTGGAGATTGATTATATTCGAGAACTAGTCAGAGTGGGTGACTCTCAACAACGGTCCTAGTGGGTTCAAAAATTAAGGTGCAGTGCCTAAGGATTTTGAGTACATGGTGTGGTTAAGTATCGAGCTTTTGTAGTGGATTATGAAAGGGACTTGGAGTGTTCTATGTTATTATCGGTCTGCGGTGCAGCATTGGGAGAAATAGGAGAAGATAACTTCGGATTCGTAGAGGAATTATCAAAATGAGTATACCGGTTGAAGATGTGAATATGCGCACAAGGAGGGTATGACGTAGTTCGTGGGTTTTGATACGACGTGGTCTCGTGAAATGGGGTCGCTCAGGATGAGTGCAGATTGAGTTTGTTATATTTTGAATGGAGATATTATTATTTCTAAGGAAAGTGCATAGTAAATTAGAAGAACTTGGTTCAGTTAGTAATGGTTGACTCGGCATGATGGTGGTAATGATCAGTTCCCTCAGCGTGTTAAGTTATACAGATGACTTGTAGCGGTATGTGAAAGGCTTGGCGGCCTCCGTAATTTGATTGTTTTGGAGGCATTCAATTATTATAGCATGTTACGTGTGGATGGATCTTGACAGTGTTATGGTAGTTTAGACCACAGCTTCAGGTTGGTGTTGTCTGTAGTTATGGGAATTCAGTCGTGTGTTGCAATGGTTCTCCTAAAGCGAGTTACGTTAAAGGTTTCTATATGATTAAGTGTTTATTCCACTAGTAGTTTAAGGGTTATGGTGAATACGTGTATTATCGTGAAGCGGCGTGATGGGTGTAGTGAGCGGCATGGGAACTGGATGTTGAAGGTCAAGGTCGCGGTTCGGTGTTGGTAAGAATGTCATAAGCTCAGATGAACAGGAACGAATTCAGACGTTTAGAGTAAGCTGGTATTTTCTTTAGCGTCACCTGAGAACAACGTCCTGTGTAAGTTGGTATTTTCTTTACAACATTTGTATGGCCGGTGGTATGGATGTGCAGACTTGTTACCTGGTGCGGAACGTCGTGGGAGCGTATCCCACCGGAAGATTGTATAAGTGTGAAATGTAGTCACTTTATTTATGAAAGATTGAAACCAAGTATGGAGATTGTGGTACTATCTCTAATGTGAGAATTTATGCCTGAAGGGCGCACTATTCATTTGGTCGTGGACTATAAAAGTTTGATCTGGATTTGACGGCTGTTATTGTGTGTCATGGGAAAAGGTTATTGTGGATCCTTAAAAGGTTATTATCCTAGTACGGTATGACCAGAATCGGCTCGAGGTCCGTGGATGGATCTCAATGTGAATGCGTGATCTATATCAGGCTGGATGTGTTCATTTCAGCATAGCGTTGCTTACAAAGTAGGGTCAAGGACCCGTTAAAGATTCTTATTCTAATTGGATTGGGTCGTTCGCCTCGGCAGGATTATGTACCACACTCTCATGGGAGCGGGCCGTTCGCCTCGGTAGTATAATAGATGCATTTATGGTTCGTGCCGTTCGACCCTCGGTATTTCATAGATTATGATAGGATCGAGCCGTACGCCTCGGCATTTCTATTAAATACTCTCATGGAATCGTACGTAATATTTGATAAGAATTCAGTGTATCTATGAGTCTTCCTGATTTGAATTACGACAACCTATCTAGTGAGGTCCATTATATATATATATATATATATGCTCCGGTTGAGGAGGTAATTGCTAATTGAGAGCTTGAGTATATTGTAGAGAGGAGGATTGTATCACGTATTTACACTTGTTTATTTTGTTTGTTTACTCTACCTCATATCTGTTTACTTCTTATAGTAACTGTCATATTGGACAGCTAGTAAGTGTCGATGTCGACCCCTTGTCACTACTTCTCTAGGGTTAGGCTAGATACATACTGGGTACGCGTTGATTTATGTACTAATGCTATACTTGCTGCACATTTTTGTGCAGGTACATTTATGTCTGGTGGTCTTTTGGGCGCAGAGGCGCGGATGATTGTATGGACTTATCGTGAGCTGTATTTCATGTTATGATTCGCAGCTTGCAGAGACTCCATCAGAGTTATTTATGTTCTCTTGTCTAATTTGTAGTCCAGACAGATGTTGTATTTTATTATATTTCCTAGTTGATGCTCATGCACTTGTGACATCGTATTTTGGGGTGCTTATGGGTTGTTCATTATTGTAGTTGTGAAAATTATCATTTACTCCGTAAATTCTATTTCTTACTATTTAATTGATAAAAATTATGATTTAAAAAATAAAAAAATGAGTAATTAAGTTAATCATTCAGTATTGGCTTGCTTGACGGCGGTGTTGGGCGCCATCACGACCTTTAGTAGATTTTGGGTCGTGACAAATACCCAGCCCGCAGAATCTTCTTTGCTAAAATTTATCCATTTATGTGAGGCCCACATACCCCCGAATGATCTTCACTCATGATCTTCTCAGCTTCTTTGGCATCTATGCATCTCAACAGGTTCGAGTCTGTGTTCCTTTTGTACAAGATTTCCCCATTCAGGAAGAAACCACCGGCGAACTGCCGTATAGTTCTTTTTTGATCTCCCTTGGCATGCTCTGGGTGTTCCCTTGTTTTCAGGAATTGTTTTATGTCATGATGCCATGGTTTACCATCTGGTTCTGTCTCAATAGAATTGTAGTAACTGTGTTGATTTCGAACTTGGATTTCCAATGGATCAATAAGAGTGTTGGCTGGATAAGGGAGCATCGAGGCTAAGGAAGCCAAGGCATCAGCTAGCTCGATGTGAAACCTGGGAATGTACATGAACTCAAGTCAAATCTTTTGCTTAGGTTTTGCACACATTGTTTGTATGGAATATCTTGATGTATCGAGTCTCTTATTCTCTTTGGGCTTGCCGGATAAGCAAGTCAGAATCTCCCATAACCAATAGTTCATGCACATCCAGATCGTGGGCCATTTTTAAATCCATGATACAAGCCTCGTATTCCGCTGTATTATTGGTACAGAAGAATCGAAGTGTGACCGTTGCAGGGTAATGCTGTCCAATAGGTGAGATGAGGATCGCCCCGATCCCAACAACTTTGATATTGACAGCCCCATCGAAATAGATTTTCCATGCGTGATTGTTGTCGGAACTATTTCCTCTATTGAGTTGATCTCTTCGTCAGGAAGTATATGAGCAGTGGCTCATAATCATCATCGACTAGATTCTTTGCCAAATGATATACCAAATCTTGTGCTTTCATTGCGGAGTGAGTGACATAGACGATGTCGAATTCTGTGAGCAGAATTTACCATTTTGCGAGTCAACTAGTGGGCATTGGCTTTTGGAAGACGTGCTTCAAGGGATCTATTCTGGATATGAGGTAAGTAGTGTATGCCAAAAGATAATTCCTCAGCTTCTGAGCTATCCAAGTCAAGGCACAAAATGTCCTTTCTAAAAGGGTATACTTAACCTCATTTGGTGAACTTCTTGCTCAAATAATAGATTGCCTGTTTCTTTTTACATGTCGCATCATGTTGCCTTAGACGCATCCAAAGGAATTATCCTTCACTAATACATACAAAAATAAAGGCCTTCTAGGTTTAGGTGGGACCAATATGTGGGCTTTTGACAAGTAATCTTTGGTCATGTCAAAAGTTTTTTGGCAATCGTCCGTCCTCTTGATAGATGCATCCTTTTTAAGCAACTGAAAGATGGGCTCGCACATGGTTGTGAACTGAACAATGAACCAACTAATATAGTTCAACCTCCCAAGAAAACTCATGACTTCACTTTTATTCTTCGGTGATGGCATATCTCGAATGGACTTTATCTTAGATGGATCCAATTCTATGCCTCTCCGACGGACTATAAAGCAGAGGAGTTCCCCAGATGGAACTCCAAATGTACATTTGGCTGGATTGAGCTTATGTTTATACCTTCGCAGCTGTTCGAAGAACTTTTTCAAATCGCGCACATGATCAGCCTGTGTCTTTGACTTTATGATGACATCATCGACATATACTTCAATCTCTTTGTGCATCGCGTCATGAAAAATGGTGGTCATGGCCCTCATGAAGATTCCCCTGCGTTCTTCAAAGCAAATGGCATGACCCTATGCCAATATGTACCCCATAGAGTGGTGAAAGCGGTCTTTTTTGCATCATCCTCGTCCATTAGAATCTGGTGGTATCCGGCATAGCAATCCATAAAAGATTGTATCTCATGCTTTGCGCAATTATCTATAAGGATATGGAGTTTGGTAAAGGAATGTTATCCTTTGGACTCGCTTTGTTCAAGTCTCTATAGTTAACATAGACTCTAGTTTTCCATACATCTTCGGTACATACACCACATTTTCCACCCAGGTGGTATATCAGACAGTTTTGATCATATTAGCGCTCAATTGCTTCATAATTTCCTCTTTGATTTTATCACTCATTTCCGCTTTAAATTTTCATTGCTTTTTTTGGACTGGTGGAAAATCAGGATAAGTGGGAAACTTATGAACCGCTAGATTAGCACTTGAACCCGACATATCATCATAAGACCAAGCAAAAACATCTCTATATTCAAATAAAATTTGAATCAAGGAATGTCTGGTTTTTTGTTCAGTGTGAATGCTTATATTTGTTTCTCTGATTTCTTCATGACTTCTAAAGTTAATTGGCTCATTTTCATTGAGGTTGGGCTTATACATGTTTTAAAATTGTTCCAATTCTCTCTTTATTTCCTCAACAGCCTCATCTTCATCATATTCAACCTCTTGACGCATTATTTCGAAATTAGACAACTTTTTAAGATCTAGGTCTGAATTCTGCATGCATGTCATGTTATTGAAGCCGGCATTAACAAAGCTGAAATGGAAACAAAATGACAGGAATTAGTATAAAGGAAGAAATACAGAACTTAAGATGAAGCTGAACGGAATTTCTACTGAATTTGAAAGGATAGAAGGGTTAATATCAAAACAAAATAAGCTATATGAGATGTTTGGATTACAACCTTGAAAATAACCAAATACAAAAAAGAGACTCTAAAAGCAAACTACCGAGACTCCTTCCTTGCGGGGAGAGGAGTTGCTTCCCAGTTGTTGAGCATGGTGTCTGGGTTAACTAGTTGCATATCGGCACGACTAATGCCTACCAGCCTGGATCATATTCACTTCGGAACATATCTAGCTGAGGCCATGGCTAATTTCATCAATGTTCTCCTGCGCCGAGAAATTTTGACCCACTTTTATTCGTGGCTTGGCAAAAGTGTAGAAAATGTGAGGGATCGGTTTCTACAAGTCCCAGCCATGCTTTTTTGTGTGCTTAGTTTTGTCTTCACCCGCTTGTCTTGGCCTGAAACCTAAGCCAAAAGCACCCTTGTTACTGAACGGAGAAATGATTTCTGAAATTTCTTGCAATGATGCCCCAAGCCTTTTTTTCCTGGCTCATAACCTTGTCTCAGCATAAGTGCTGCCACATTATAGATGTGGTAGAAAGAAGAGGATGTAGAATCAGTTTTCCTTCCTCAACATGGTCCACAACAACCACTTCGAAAGCCTGATAGACAATGGACTCATACCCTTCCTTGGCCTCAAGACACGAGATTAACGGGTCTTTATAAATGGATGACTCATCTTCTCTGTGAACAACAATTTCTCGCCGGTCATGTTAAGACTTGAGCATCTGATGCAAGGTGGATGGCATAGCTCGAGCCATATGGATCCATGGCATTCCAAAAAAAAGTTATAAGAAGTTTCCATGTCCACTACATAGAAGACAATTTCAAAATCAACCGACCCAATTTTCATGGTGAGGCTAATTTTCCCAATAGTGTCTCTCGTTGAGCCATCAAAAGCCTGGATGCGGACATTGCTGGTTCGGTTTCTATCTCAATTAATCTTCATGCTTTGTAAAGTAGAGAGAGGGCATACGTCTACGCTCGAGACTCCATCAACCATGACACATTTTACATAGTGCCCCTCACATTTGACAGTCAGGTGCAAAGCCCTATTGTGCCCGGCTCCCTTCTCGGGGAGTTCATCATCAGAAAGGAGATTCTGTTCACCTCAAAAAATTTGTTGGCCATCTTCTCGAACTGATTCACTGTGGCCTTCTCTAAGACATGTGCCTTATTCAGGATCTTGATTAATACACGGGCATGCTCTTCTGAATGTATGAGCAGAGATAGCATAGAGATTTGAGCAGGAGTCTTCCACAGCTGGTTAACGATTGAGTAATCCTAAACTTTCATCTCTTTCAAAAACTCTTCCGCCTCTTCATCAGTGACTGGCTCCTTTATTGACATTTGTCCTTCTCTAATATGCTTGGCCTTCCTCAACTCTTCCAGAGAGTAACACTCCCCGATCGAGTCAAACCTCTAGTTTCCCCCACTTCTTCAATGATTTCCTTGCCTTTGTAGGTTAGCACAATTTTGTTATAGTTCTAAGGAATGGTTTACATGTTTGTCATACGGGGTTGCGTGGTAGTTTTGATTATATCGACTTTGTTATACCTTTTGTGCTGCCCTGATTCTTCCTTGTGAAAGGCGGCCTCTTAGATCATATAACCTTGGGCTTGGATTAGTGGAGCAGACTTCCAACCTTGAGATTTTTGGAGCAAATAATGTTTCTTTCTCTGAGCTCCGCGCGCCTTTCACAATCTATGGCACATATTGAATTGGACTTACTTCTAGTTTTGTTCCTTCTTGAATGGTTCCCACTCTCATTTCTGCTCGACCAACCGGCATGTATTCTTGATCTCGGCCAACCATTCCAATGAAATGAACATGGTTGTGTGCTAGCAACGGGTTGTTTGCAACATTAGGAGGGTCTTTTCCATTTGTTACCACAATGTACTTTTCAGTGATGAGTCTTTCTATGGCTCTTTTCAGAGTCCAATAATCATAAGTGCTATGCTCCTAGGCACCTGAATGATCTTCACATCTAGAATTTTCTTGAAATCCATGTGAATTGGGATGCATATGGTGAGGAGAGATGTGTCCAATCACGCCCATCTACTTCAACTTCTGGAATAGACTAGAGTATGATTCCGCCAATGGAGTGAAATCTTCCACCAGACTCTGCTCTCAACCATAATCCTGCATGGGACGAGCATTGAAGGATGCCCGAAAATTTTGTTGTTGAGGTCGAGGGATCCTTTGAGCTGGTGCCCGTACATGTTTATTGGGAGGCCGATCATAAGACTTGGTGTTAAGCACCGTACATAGTGTTGCGCCAACAGAGTACTGAGGAATTGGCGGGGGATAATAATGTTTAGGGTAGCTCGATTGCCCCTGTTGAACTTGAACATAAGGGTGTGATGTCCCTCTTTGGACTTCCCTGGATCCCGAAGTCATCACGGACCCTTCATCTCTCTTCTTTGTATTTGCCAAACTTCCCTATCCATTTTGGATTGCTTGGGTGGTGGCTTCGAGAGCAGCTTGAATTATAATTCTGCCAGTCTTGAGGCCATTTTCGACCATCTTTCCTTTTTTGATCGCTTTGCAAAAGGTCTACCCATCACGGACATCATGTTTTGAAAGTAGTCAGGCTCTTGAGTCTCCAGCAAAACAGTGTCAACTCGTGGATATCCATGGGTAGCTTAACTCTATCCGCTTGCTCCCTCCACTTGATGGAATACTCCTTAAAGCATTCAGTCGGCTTTTTTCTTCATGTTGGACAGTGAATTGCGATTCGGCGCAATATTCATGTTGTACTAAAATTGTTTGATAAAGGTCGTGCCATGTCGTCCCAAACATGCCAGTGAGAGATATCTTTGTCAATGAACCATTCAGAGGCTACTCCCACCAGACTCTTCCCAAAATAAGCCATTAGTAATTCTTCTTTTCCTCCTACACCACTCAGCTGGTTGTAGTACCTTTTCAAGTGGGCGACAGGGTCACCGTTTCCATCATAATTTTCAAATTTTGTTGTTTTGAACCTTGGTGGCAAATGGATGTGAGGGAACATGAACGGATCACTG